TTATGTAATAATTTGCATCTTGTATAAGCAATGATTTCCATCAGTCTAACTCTTAATTGGATTTTATCAAATTCTAAGAACTACGGATCAGAATCGAACAAAGAGAAAACGATTCCAAATAATACGCATGAACATTATTTCATGGACCGTATATGATATTAATAAAATAATTGAAATAGTATTGTATGATTGTCAATCAATAAATATAAATAAATCCAGAGTAACCGCGCCCCACAGAACTATATACAAGACATGCAATTTACTGGCCATGGACAGAAGAATATTTACGGTAAGATTGTTTATATTTGATATTACATATTTAGAACTAAATTTTGTGTTGAAATCTATTGTTGCATAATTCATTGTTCTCTTTTCATTTATAAATTTCGGTTTATTTATAAATTGGTGGTTTAAATTTTTATACGTGGGTGGATATAGATATTCTCTTGACTACAATTGCTTGGCATTATTCCGTTAAGTATTTACGACACGATTACTCAGTGGCTTCGTAATTTACGAGTTAACTTCTATGAGATACAACTATTTATACTTCGCTTAATTGCGCAAATAATTTTTCGAAACAGACCGGGAAAATCGTCATAACGTCATTGATTCATCGAAATACACTTGTCGGCCGTATTGACAGTTAATTACTGCTTGCTTCATGAAAAAGCAACTTCGTCCGTAGTATCTGTTGTAACTTATCTCGGTGAAGCAATAAAAGTTAAGGTGTGTCCTGACGTGTATCCTGACTCATTTTATTTCGGTCAACAATAAATACAGACAAATACCCATCGCTCTAGCTGCTCTAGTTAGCGGGATACGACGAACGATGTGTATATTCAACTAAAATACACTTTGTTGGCTGAATATATAGTTCTTTATTACTTTTATCAGTTAAGTACATTTCAGAGTCGTATATGAATACATGATTAGTATGAAATATGAAACTACCATTTTTCTATATTTGTTCACTTAAAAATTATATGAAACACGTTTTGAAAAGTTTGTTGAAACGTACATGAACATGATTATACGAGGACTATAAAAGTATATCGTCAAAACAGCACAGTTAGATTCTTTAGAAATGTTAATTGTTTATTTACGATACATAATCGGCACAGGGTGTAGACGTTTGACTTGTTGAGTCGCGATAAATCGGTTATCATGTGCAGATAAACGTAGATAAACATAATTCGCAAATAAACGAATTTACGCGGAAAACGAGCATCGCGTTGGGAATCTAACACGATCTTTCTGTGCCGACTCCGTAAAAGGTATTACGGTAATCCGACTTACAACTGGATGATTGATTCTTCCATCCATGCTTCCAGATAATATATAATATATAAATCTTATCGCACCTGAAATCGTTGATGAAAATAGGACTCGTGATTTTGTGATGTGATTTATATCTGGTATGTATAGTGTATTTTTCAATCGAGAAGTAGACAACAATTACATATCTGCATTTCCTTATCGTACTAAATTATGAGTTCTATTGGAAACAGATCGAACACATTAGCTTGTAGTTGATCTCACATACCATAAAAATGAAAATTAATGTTTAATTAATTAATGAATAATGTTTAATAAATGTGTTGTAGACAGAATAAAAGGGAGGGTAGAATCCTTTAAATGCCAAAGGTGGATGAATTGCGCCAACCCTTGTCGTATTTAATTTAGTTGAAAAAAACTGAAAGAAAAAGGAAACGAATTTCCTTTCTTTCCCCAGTTGCCACTCTCTAATAGACGCTCGTTAATATTGCGAGTGCCACTCTTGAATATCGAGGCGAGGTTACCTTCCTTTTTTCACCATTTCACCATTCCCGTCACTGCTTCATCTCGCTCGATCTCGTTTCTACGGAGCGTCGGGTTTCTCTTTTTTTTTTTCGCTTGCCACAACGCGAGCGTTCGTCGGATTAAGGCATAATGAAATTACGAGGGTCACGTCATTTTATAAAGCGATCGTTAAAGCGTCGAGAGTGTTCGCTTGCCGTGGCTCTCGTCGAAATGACACCGCATTGAAAACGATCGATGGAAATCTCTGACGAAAGAAAAAGAGAAACCCGGGGCGTAAGATGGAACGACAGGGTGAAGCCAGAACTGTGCTTCTCCCTTTCTCTCTTTCTCTCCCTCTCTGTGGAAGGAGGCAGGGAGTAAGAAGCGATATAGAAAAAGGAACGAGATAAGGATAAGTGGAATTTTGTGTATAACAGTGACGCGTCAATAAACCAGCCCTGCTGTAAAATCGATTATTAATTTAATATGGACGTTTTGACAAAATTACTTCTGTCTAAATATCTTATAATATAATATAATATATTATAATCTTCAGGACGTTATCGCGTCCCTTGATCTGAAAATATCAAACATACGTAGAGCGGGGCACGTGGACGTTTAGTTATAAACCCACGATGGAATTTTATGAACATGCACGTATGTACCATTCCATGTGCCAAAACTCATTACACACGTAATTTATTGATACGTCAAATATATTCACAACTGTCGCTTGTTTGTTACTCCACAAAATAACGAGAATGCCGCAGTACAACATGAACACATGTGGGGTGTCCCAGAATTAATACTACACCCGAAAATGGGAGGTTCCAGAGATGATTTTAAACAATATTTTCCTTTGTAAAAATGTTGACCGAAGTGTGGTCGTTGAGTTATTAACGAAAAACCCCGACCAATCAGAGCGTCCGTATAGCGGTCGGCCAGGGGTGCGACATTCGCCTCGTGCGTTGCCGCGCCCGTGTGCCATGCATGTGACGAGAACGTAGGATTACAAAGGAAAATATTGTTTAAAATCATCTCTGGAACCTCCCATTTTCGGGTGTAGTATTAGTTCTGGGACACTCTATACATACATATACATAATATGCATTTCAGTTTTCTACTTCCGTTTTAGTTTTATTCGTATATCGCTGAGCAAATCATAGCCGATCATGTCAATTTTTCACGGCTCCATCAAAATAATATCTATGTATATAATAGGTAACCAAAATAAGTTGTCCGCATATCTACCGCATTACCGTAACTCGTAATATCATAATTGGCCACGTCGATAAAGTGTATATTAGTTACATATTATGTTATACATTATATTAATCAACGGTATCGATCGGTACGTATATATATTTATATATATTTTGAAATATTTCTGGACATCGTCTGTTCGACAATTTTGATTTCATTCGATAATAATCAACTGAGAGATCTCTACCCATAAAGCTACACTTACTCCATACAAGAGTTCGTCGAATAGAATACGAATAATTTTATTTACAACTAGAAGCGACTTTGATAAATTTTTCCATTGGCCGAGTCCACGTTTCCCCTTGGTTGATATGTAGCAGCGTTTAAAGAAAAACGACAAGCAGAGTACGCCATGTCCCTTTGTAATGCAATAAGATCGATGGTACGAATGTTACATGCTCTCGACTCGAATAAATCTGTGTCTGTATCATGGAACAGAAAACAGTCGAGGAGTGTGTATAGTTGGAAGCAACGACGCGACGTCCAGCGGATTCGACGAAACTTTTTCACGGAGGGATAACACCTTCGTTGCACTTGTTAACGAAACGGTCAGGCTACCAGGAACAATATCGTCGAATGGACCTCCGGCTGCTCGTTGTCGCGGCTACGAACAAGGGGATTTTTCGGAGTCTGGGAACGAAAGGCGTCGGTATTAATTGGCTGGGTTACGGTTCCATGTGGAGTGGACCGACTACGACTACGTGAACGCCGGCACTACTACTACCATCGTCGGGAACTATC